AACTTCATGTCTACCAGACCCCAGGGGCTCTTCTGCATCCAGACACTAGGCCCCAGCTTGTGCTGCTGTGGCAAGTTATCTTCTCCTGGGTGAATGACTTGGCATTTCCCTGTGTTTCTTGAGCTTCAAAAGGCTCCTGTTAGCCTGTTCTTCCAGCCTATCAAGTTCCCTCTGATGGCATAACAACCATCTGATGTATTAGCTACTCCTTCCAGCTTTGGAAGCTCCCAAACTCAGAGTAGAGTCTGTCCCATCATGCATGTCCCTTCATCACCACTGACCATATAAAAAATTACTGGACCCCCATGTATACCACCAGAGACCGGCCTACAAATGGCACATGTGTTGCTGATCAGACCTTTGAGACTAGCAGATGATAGAGTTTCCAGCCCATCTGACTGTCTTCTACTTAGTGAACTTTATTATCATAGGTAAACTTTATTAGTTCACCTATGAAGATTTTTTTAAAAGCTTTTGATATGCCAGAAGCCTTACTGAAGTTGATATAAACAATATTCACTCTTCTTCCTTCATCCAGAAAGACAGTCACCTCATCATAAAAGGCTACCATGTTGGTCAAGCAAAATTTCCTCTTCAGAAACCTATGCTGCCTATTCCAAATCACCTTCTTATCCTTCATGTGCTCAGAAATGGTTTTCATTATTATTTGCCAGGGATTCCCAGGAATTAAAGCAAGATTGATCAGTCTTGTCCTTCCTGAAGACAACAGTAACATCTGCTCAAGGAACCTTCACCAGTAATCATGATCTGTCAAATATTAGCAGAAGTGGCCTCCCAAAGACAAAGACCAGCTCCCTCAGCACTCATGGGCACATCTCAACAGGACCCACATAATTTTTTATGTCCAATCTGTTCAGTGCTGATCCTCTTCTATTAAGGGTAATTCATCGTCACCCCTCTTCAAAATAATTTCATTTTAATCCTAATTATACAAGGCATTTCAGTATTTTCCACTACTTGTCCTAAAGTGAAAGATAAGGATCCATTTTCAGATACATCCTTGTCTCCTTGTATGGTATGGTATTCCACGACAATAATGCAAATATTAGTGACATTTTTTCTATTCCACAGGATAAACATGGAAAGTGAGGGCCAAATATTACCTACAAATGTGGTTTTAAACACATTCTGACAACCTTAGGCAGCAAGATAGAACATCTACTTTCAAGTATTACCATACAATGCTCGTGTTTAAATTGCATTGGGACCTCCAAAAATTCCACTACAACACCATCACAACTGGAAAGGTACCAACATTCCCCTTACACCTCCACCACAGGTGATCAGCTGTGGATATTCACATAGTGCCTACACATCTAGACCTCATCTAGATGCAGCTTGAATTGCACACCATCAGCTGTGAACACAAATGAAAAAATAAATAACAGCAACAGTGCCATTCAGCTTTACCCTTTTTCAGATTACAGTTTTCATCCTGAAGTTGAAAGCCTTCCCTGACTGAGTGTAGTCCAATACTCAGGTTTCCCAGAAAATGACCTTATTATCAAACACTACTGAAAAAGAGGATGCTTACCCTCAGTTATTCAGGTACAAAGTCATTACAGAGCAATATTCAAACAGAAAATGAAACTCAAGCAAAATTATTTGGTTCTGGTCTCAATTAATAGCATCATTTAGGCTGGAAAAGATCTGTCATTAATTTAGTTGAACCATTAAAGGGGTGACTAAGATTGCAAGGGGACTGGAATGCCCAACAGAGATGATGCTGAGAACTGTTTGTTGAGCTTATGAAGAGAATGCAAAGAAAGACCTGGCTGCCCTCTACAACTGAATGGGAAGTTCTAGTGAAGCACAGTTCCTCTCAGAGATGGAAAGAATTAGGATAAGAGAAAATAGAATAAAGGTGGAATACAGAAAATTTCTCACATGGAAAGTGTGAAATTTTTGGGGTCTTTTGGTCATTGCTGTTTTGTTGTTGTTGTTGTTGTTGTTGTTTTTCTTTCCCTCCCAAAATCGTGAGAGTGATCAGACACCAGAACAGTTACAATGAAATAGTCTCCACCCTTGTAAGTAAACAAAACCTGGGTAAGCAGGGCCTGAGCAACATGCTGTAGTTGGACCAGCTTTGAGCAGAAATTTGGTCTAGATGAACTCTTCCCGATCTACATGATTCTATGACTACAGGGTCTCTTTCCATTTAAAAACTATTTAAGCACATGTAGAAGCAGCACCGTTAAAGAGCAGAACTTGGCCTCTTTCTCACCAGAGTTCAGTGAAACTTCTCTTGCATTTCTTCAGCCCACAGATCTTGTCTTTCTCATTCAGAGATCAGCTCTGCCCATGAACAAGAAGTATCCCATAAATGACACCTTCAGTTGCATAGTTAAGGAACCCTCTGGGAAGCTGGAAGCTTGAGTTTTCATACTTTCATGTTGAGTCTATTTTTCTGAATCTCAGGCTCTGGGCTGGAAGGCTAAGTAACATGGCTATGGCCACTTTTGTGCTCAAGGCTTACTTTAAAAACAGGGTTACTCCTTAAAAGGAGTAACCTTAAATAAAGCATACTCTGACACATACTTTGTCCAGCTTTTCTAGTTAGATTCTGGCTCTAAACAGACAACTGCTTTACCAGCAGGCACCCTGACTAATGTCAACTGCCTGGAGTCCTCCTCCAAACAATCAAAGAAGGTTTCCCAGAACTAATTTAAAGCCTCTATGAAGAATCATTTGGAAGGTCTCAATTGTTCTTCTGAAGCATCTCCTTTCCTTCACTCACATTTATAGACTAAAATGACAAGCTTAAGCAATGAAATTCACAGAGCTAAGTCTAGAACTGTGCCCTGCACCTTTTGGCTTTAATATATTTGTACAAGGGAAGACTGGCAAATGCTGGGTTAACTTTTCTCCACCACCAGTGAGACTAAAGAAGAGCAACAGCGATTAAAATGATAGAAAAATGGAACAGCAACTAACTTCAGCATGACAAAAGAAAGGGACATGTTATTTATGAAAACAGATCAGAATCAGAACACAAGAACAAACAAATTCACTGTCAGATTTTCTCACTCCATGACAGTTATTTATTAACCTGGAGAGACACATGGGTTTACAAAACTAAACAGCAATTTTGTTATTGCAGGTTCTACTCTTGCAGCACAAGTTTAGTTAATCTGCATTACAGCAAAAAGACTGCATTATTTCAGACACCCATACACACACAACACTTTTGCTCAAAACCCACTACTTCAACATTCTGCATCAAAAAACAATTGTGTAAAGAACACCAAAGCAAGCTATTTCCAGTACTCATAATAAATTTGAACTGAAGAGTAAACTTCAGGAATTCTATTTTGGGAAAGGGAAAATTTGGTGTAGTATGCTTCTGCTAAGGAGAGAACTCCAAGTCTTACTTTGTTAGCATTTGTGTAAAACCTGTAAGATGGTAAGATACAAGTAGATGTTCTAGAAAAAACTCCATGTCTCAGAGTTCTGAAAATTATTGAAGAAATAGAGAAAGGTAGTCTCAAGATACTTCATATTGCATTTTTGCTGTTCCAAATACATATTAAAGAACTAACCAGTCATTTTTTCTTTATAAACAAAACTAGCTACACCTGCACTGATGTTATTTTCCAAACTTTTCTGCGATGTTCTTTAGATTAGTCAACATGCAGAAAGTATCCAAGCTAAATTATGTAAAAAATGCTCACCACTGCTTTTGCCTACTACTGTACAGTTAGTAAGTGTTCTTTCTCACAAATATTAAGTATTAAAAGTTTTAAATAACTTATTTTTTTAAAAAAGATTCTGGGCAAACACAGTTATAAACACGCAGTTAGGCAAACCAATAATTTTAAGTGAAGTATCTTTCACCAGACCACCTTTTTTTTGGAGAAGAAAAAAAAAGTGAAAAAAAAAAAATCCACTCTCAAACCAAAAAGTTACTCAAGTACCAAATTCCCTTGAAGAAAGGTAATTAGAGATAAATAAGAAACTTTTACTCAAGTTTCTCTGAGCACTTAATTTGCAGTTTTGAGCCAGGAAGAGACCCTTTGGCACTCTAAGCTTGTCTGTATTCCACGCCCCAATTACAGTACAAGCTGTCTCTACAATCACTTAGCAAACATCTTCAGATTAGCCTGGTTACAACAGCACATGACACGCTACCATTACAACATTAAGTCATTACCTGCATCAAGATATTTACTCAAAGATTCATCAAGAGGAGGTACTGGCAGGGAAGGCAGAGAATCCTGGTACTGAAACGTGCGCTCCTCTGAGGATTCAAGCAGTTGCTTTTCCATGTTGCAGATCTGCAGCACAACCAAACAGAATGTTCACGAAGCCCACGGCCGATGACGAATCTCCCACACTGTTCTCTCCCTCGCTCCGGCCTCCTGCCATTTACACGGTAGAAGGCATCAGGAAGCGTTCCCCGACAAAGCACGGAGCGAGGGTTCCTTGCTGGCTTGCAGCCGCGAGAGGCACACACACAGCAGGGGGAAACGATGCTGTTGGTGCTTTTCCCCGGCATGTCGCGATTAACCAGCTCGCAGGCTGTCGCTTTCCCTCCCAAGAGCAGCCAGCCAGCCCTGGAACACCCGCCCGAGACTAGAGGATATCTGGGGAAGGGGGAAGCAGCCCCAGCCCGTCTGGCGCCCCTCCGCAGACCCTCCCCAAGGGCCCCGCCCGAGCCCCGGCCGTGCCCCGACCCCAGCGCTCGCCGAGCCGAGCCGAGCCGAGCCGGGCCGGGCGAGGTCCGCGACAGCACAGCAGAATTTGCAGCGGCTCGGGGCCCGCATCGAGGAAAGGCCGGGAGAGCCCCCGGCGGATGGGCCTGGGTGCAAGGAGGCAGCCGAGCCGAGCCCACCCCTGTGCCCCGCGCACTCCCGGGGAGCGAGGCGGCGGGGACCACCGGCCCCAGCCGCTGCCCACCTCCCGGCCGCCGCCTTCCTCCCGTCCCACTTCCCAGCGGCTCCGGAAGCCGCGCGGGGCGGGGCGGCCGCGGGGCGGGAGGGGAGCGGCCTCGCCATCCCCCGCTCCGAGCCGGCGGTGACGTTAAAAGGGTAGCATGAAGTGGGGGAGAGGTGCTGACTCCCTCGAGGGCGGACGCGCCCCGCGCAGACCTGGGCTAGTCGGAGGGCTGGGCAGTCGCCAACTGGGTGAAGTTTTACAAGGTCAAGTGCTGGTCTGCGCCTGGGAGAGGATAACTCTGGACGTACGTACAGACTGGGGAGCGAGAGGCTAAAGACCTCATTTCTATCCACCTGGAATTCCTGGTTGATGGAAAATTGATTCTAAATCTGCAGTGCCCGGGCGGGCAGGAGGGCCAGCCGTGTCCTGGGGCTCATCGCCATCCGGCAAGGGAGGGGATTGTGCCCCTCTGCTGTGCACTGGGGTGGCCTCACCTAGAGTGTTGGGAGCAGTTCTGCATGCTACAAGATATGAAAGACATTAAGCTATTAGAGAGTTTCCAAAGGAGAGCTATGAAAATAGTCATAGGTCTAGAGGGGAAGCCACATGAGGAGCGGCCGAGGTCACTTGGTCTGTTCAGCCTGGAGGAGACTGAGGGGAGATCTCACTGCAGTTACAGCTTCATCATGAGGAGAAGCAGAGAGGCAGACACTGATCTCTTCCTGTGGTGCACAGTGACAGGAAACAGGGAATGGCCTGAGGTTGTGTCAGGAGAGGTTTAGGCTGGATAGTAGGAAAAAGTTCTTCCCCCAGAGAGTGATTGGTCACTCGAGCATGTTCTCCAGAAACCTGGTCACACATCAAGCCTGCTAGAATTCAAGAAGCATTTGGAAGATGCTCTCAGGCACATGGGATGTCTTGCATAGGATCAGGAGTTGGATTCAGTGATCCTTAGAACTCAGTATCTGTGACATGGAGAGAAAGCCCAGCTGGGGTTGCACTAGAGGCAAGGGCTCTTTGCAGCTGCTGTCCCTCATGGGCTGTGCCCTTAGCTCCTGTGGTGTCCTTAGCAGGACTGAGACCAGATGCAAGCCCTGGCTGGCCCAGGGGACTCCTCACCCAGGGTAAGTGGCCCAACTGCTTTGTGAGTGGGCAATGGCATAGAAATATGCAAGGGTGTTTCTGTGGAGCAGGTCTGGACTGATGGGTTTCTGTGCCACCTGTTAAAATGTTATGTGAGAGAAATGCTTGTGGGATGTTAAAATGTTATGTGAGAGAAATGCTTGTGGGATGTTAAAATGTTATGTGAGAGAAATGCTTGTGGCATGTGACTTGCAGCTCCACCGTAGTAAGAGTAAGCAGTAGCAAGAGTGCTTGGGTGGCAGTTGGAGCAGTCTTCACATGCTGGAGCAAACATTTGAAGTTTGGTGAAGCACCACTTTTACTGGGGAGGGCATGTGAGGCCCAGTGTAGTACACAAGCCCTACAAGGAACGACTGAGGGAGCTGGGGTTGTTTAGCCTGGAGGAGACTCAGAGGTGACCTTCTCACTCTGAGCATCTTCCTGAAAGGTGGTTGTGGTCAGGTGGGGGTTGGTCTCTTTCCTCAGGCAACGACTGACAGAACCAAGGGAAATACAGGTTGGATATTAGGAAAAAGTTTTATACAGAAAGGGTGATAAAGTATTGGAATGGCTTGCCTGGGGAGGTGGTGGAGTCATCATCTCTGGATGTGCTTAAAAGAAGACTGTATGTGGCACTTGGAGCCATGGTTTAGTTGGGATGTTAGGGTTGGGTTGGACTTAATGATCTTGAATGTCTCTTCCAACCTGTTGATTCTGTGACTTCTCTTTGCATCTGCAGCAGTGTCACCTTCTGTTTTTGCTACTCTCTGTCATGCCAAAATGACTTCCCATTACCTGCTGTCATGGTTTAACTCCAGCCAGCAACCAAGCCCCATGCAACAACAGCTCACTCACTCACCTACCAGTGGGATCAGGGAGAGGATCAGATGGGTAGAAGTTAGAAATCTCGTGGCTATGGAAAGCAAAAGCTTCACAGAAAAGCAAATCAAAACAAGGAATTAATTTGCTATTTCCCATGATCAGGTGTTCGGCCAGCCCAATGAAAGTAGAGCTCTGCCGCATGTAACAATTGATTGGGAAGACAAATACCATCACTTAAAAGGTCCCCCCCATTCCACCTTATTCCCTCCACTTTATATCCTGAGCTCTTCCTGAAGCCTGTAGTGCTGCATGGGATTGTTTTGACCCAAGAGCAAGACTCAGCACTTGGTCTTCTTGAATCTCATACCATTGGCCTGGGACCATCGATCCATCCAATCTAGATCCCTCTGCAGAGCCTTCCTGACTTCCAGCACATCAACCTCCCACCCAGCTTGGTGTTGTCTGAGAATTTACTGAGGGTGCACTCAATCCCCTCATCCAGATTATCAACAAAGATACTAAACAGGAGGTTGCAATCTCGCAGCTCATTCTTTTTCCTTTGAGATGGTAATTATCTTTCCACATTGATGTCTTTCCTCTTGATTGTTGAGCTACACTCCTAGCACCAGCTCTGTGCCCCAGCCTTTATCTCCAGTTTTATCTCTCTTACCTTTCACAATTCAACTCTGTGGACTGTTTTGGAGCTCTTTCTCTCAATTGAATGATTTCCTCAAACATCTGAGCAAAGACAACATCTGCTAGTTGTACCATAGCAGAACTAGGATGACAGCAGCAGCAGTAGGAAAGGAGGGGAGATTATACTGCTCCTTGTGTTTGTTTTTGAAGCATCCACACCGTCTGTATATTTGGCCATTTCAACACCCTGGAAGGTCCAAGTAGTAAAGTCCATGTTGAGAATGTATGTTGTGTGACTTTAATAGTTATTTCAATAATTTTCCATTAGGGATGCTTTAAGTTTATCAGATGCAAGTGTTCCACAAGTAAGTTTCTCTGTAATAACATCCTAGATTTTTTTTCAAGACAAAGTAAAGGGATGGGTACACAGATTTCTGGAGGACATTATTTCAGTTGGTAATGACACAAATTTTTTTTCATCAGCAGCTTTTAGATGTCAGCAATGACATTAACCAACTTCAAATACAGTCTGCTAAAAATGTCGCCATGAGAGATAGGTTATCGGGAAAAATATGACTAATAAATGGGTATGCTCCATGCTTTTACCCCATTAATTTATAGCATCTAGGAATAAGGACAAAGGATTTTTCTGACGTCTTTATTTTTCAAGAAACAAATACCAGTATTTTCCTGAACTCAGGAGCTATGGAGATATGGCTTTCCACTTTTTTTTCTCCTGTGGTTTATGCATTTTGCTGTCTCTTAAGTGGAAGATCACACCACTACTTTTGCTGAGTAAGAAAACTTTTAGGGATATAAATCTGGAAACCTTAAAAACATGTAATAAATATTACAGTAGATGTAACAGATGTGTTTTTTCTCTAACTGGATACCTCTTTTCATAAATCTGTAATTTTTCAGAAAGTTCTAATGCCTACCCTGAAAAACATATTTTTAAACTTTTTAAAAAGGATTATTTACATAATGAATGTAACCAAATGTGTGTGATACAGTAATATGTAAGGTACTGATACCAATGCAGAAATAAAAAATTTCAACTGTGTTACAATGTTTAGAACACTAAGACATTGGAGTCTATCAGTTATACAAACTGTTTCTCTTGTGAAGATAAAATCAGTAGAGGATTGCATTGCCTAACTGTCCTACAACCTGACAGTTCTGTTATTATAGGATTGCAGATACCAAGTGGTCAGTGCCCAGCCAGGTGTCTCAGATGCATTCCTAGCTGTAAGCAATCCAGCAGCTTTGATAACAGACTCCATACCTACCATGAAGTTGATCATTTGACTCCCAGGCTCACTATTCCATTTCTGTGTTAATTGTTGGGAGGTGAATGGACTACTTGAATAAAAATTTCGTGAGTAGGCTTGGATCTACTTGCCACCTGGGAAAAAGAGTTGCTTTTTCCCTGGCTTCCAGAATCTGCAGACCAGGGGTTAACTCACATATGTGCAAATGAGACAGGTCTGCTATGTAGGGTTTGCAAGTGCCTGGATGCCTGAGAGGCCTCTTAAGTCCTGGACTGCCCTACTGGCAAATACCACACTCCCGCAGTTCAAAAAGTCTTCTTCCACAGGTTTTTAGACTGTGTGCTATAGGATATATTTTCCTTGGGGAAATATCTTGCAGCCCTGTCCTGCAAGCAGTTAGTGTTTCTTTGCCTTTCTGTTCCCTGTAGGGTGGGGCTGTTGGTCCATTTGTCTTAGCTGCTGGTCAGTGTGAAAGCAGTTTTGTTGTCACTTGTGTTTTCAGTTGTGCTTTTCAATTAATACTTGAACACTTACTATAAGGGGATGTCATGACGATAAAGCTCATGTAAAAAGTTTGTCATGCCCTGAAAGCCTGTCTCAAAAGCATGTTTGAAAAATAATCCAAAATTTCTTTGGTATACCACATCCATGTCCATTTTAATTCTGTTGTATTAGAAGGATACTGAAATACTGAAGTCAGTGTGGCACTGTCCCCTGTGATTGTGACTGGAGTGGGTGGTGTACAGAAGAGTCCGAGATAATTGGTTTTGTTTTAAGAAGGGAGTGCCAAATGAGGATGTCTTCACCTGCCTAATAGAAGGATGGGCAGAGCCAGGCTCTTCTTGGCTGTACTCAGCAAAAAGACAGAAGACTTGTGGATACAAGGTACAACAAGCATATTGATAGAAAGAAAAGTGTCCTCACTGTGAGCCATGATTGAACATTGGAACATGGTTACGAAGGGAGATTGTATAGTCTCCATCCTTAGAGACACTCAACACATAATGAGAGAAGATTTGAACTATATGATCTCTAGAAATACTCTTCAGCCTAAGTTATTCTGTGATTTCAATGATGGCTCTTTTAATCTTTTATACAGCTCTCTATCAAGATAGAATTTTATTTTCAGCTTATTCTAAATATGAAGAGAAAAAAAAACAGGAAATACTTTCTTAAAATTCAGTAGGTTTTCTTTTTTTCACTGACTGAGACATTTCTTTGCCAATAGTTCAAGAAAGAAACATTATTTTTCATTGTGAACACTCTAAAGTAGATTTTTCTGCCATTAATTCATCAGATCATGCATCTAACTTAAGTTTTATAGGGAATAAAATAAAAGCTTGTTTCTCTTGAAAAGCTTACAATCCCAAAGAATCTTGATTCTTCAGAAGAATTCTTACGTATCCTCTCTTTGTTATAATAGGGTCAAAGTTAGATCTCACATATTAGGCCAATAGGTGGAAGTAGATGAAAATATAAAGACAATTTGGAAATAATAATAATTTTTAAAAAATCGCTCTCTCCTCTTGTAAAAAATGAGAAAAAAGACATTTCCCTAACCAGATACACTTAGATTTCAAATAAAGTGAGATTCAACTGTACTCCAATGATTATGTATTCATGTAATAGTTCTTTCTTGTTTGTAGCCTTTTTTTTTCTTTTTGTGAATGAAAATTATATTGGCTGAATATATCTTTCAAACCAGCAAGACAAACTCTGCAGGTTCTTTGTTTCAGGGGAAGTTGTAAAAGAATCCTTAAAGGCAAATTACTCCATTAGGTTAGCACAGATGTGTCATTTACATCCAAACTTTGGGGATGTGTGTGCAATATCAGCACGCACCTGTCCAGCTGGATGTGTGAAAGCATCCAAAAAGGTCATAAAAGGTTCTTTTCATTTTCAACAGGAGGATGGTGAGACTGATGTAGATGACAACTAAACTACAGCATTAGTTTACAACCTGATAAACAGCGTGCTCTTACTGTGCTCTTACATAGCTATGTAGTTGCTAGTGCTGAGTAAAAGAGGGGGGTAGAGCATTATGCTCCAAGAAGCTGGGAAGGGACAGATTTTCTCATCAGCAGCATGATCAGACACAGCTGCTTCTGGTGACAGGTCTGCATCTCAGTTACAGCTTTGACTTAGGTTACTCTCTGAGCCACTGAAACTGAAAAAGGGATTCATTCTTCATGCACCAGATAGTGGAGCTGTGCAACCCATTGCAAGAGGATGTCATGGATGACAGCTGTTTAAAGGGAGACTGGAAAAATACATGAAAGAGTAATTCATAGACGTTTTATATATATAAAGAAATGTCATTCTACTGTTCCTTTGATGTCTATTTAACCACTGTGATAGAAAGAACATTGAACTAGGTTGCCCTTATGTTTTCTAGGTTCTTCAGATGGACCTTTCACTTTTGTGCATATTCTAAAAGCCTATATTTTTAAATGGTCTTTATGAAATCCCATAATAAATTATTTTGCTGCTTGTAATATTTGTTTGGGTCAGTGACTGAGCAAATATTAACTAAGGGTATTGCCCAATATTATTCTACCATCATTTATAAAAGCAGGACAGGTTTACAGTGTTGCAGGAAGATTATCTACCATAGTTGTAACACAAGCAGTTTTAATGACAGAGACTATTGCACCCTGATGTTTCAATTAAGACTTAATTCACTCTAACTTTCCTATATCTGAAGAGTCTTGTTCTAGAATGATGTGTTGTCTTGTTTTTTTGTTTGGTTGGTTTTTTTTAAGAAATGGAAAAGCTGATTGCTTGTGTGCAAAAAAGGCCAGATGCTATTTGTAGACTGATTTGCTTTCCATGGGCTGGAGCTGGAACTGCACATCTTGCTAAATGGGGCAGACTCTTCAACGATGCAATTGAAGGTTAGTAATTTTGTAGTTACAGTAGAAGTTAAGCAATTCTGAAATACACAGTAGCCAATTTTTTAAATGGAATACCATAGTCTTGAGAATACCACAATCTTTATCCAGTGTGTCTTCTCCAGAAAGTAAGGAACTAGCATTTCCACTAGGGTACATTTTCTGTACCAGCTTGAATCAAATTATATTTGATTGGGTGAAAAAATTATATCCTCAGAGCTACATTTCACAAGAGTACAGTATGCTTGACTGATTCAGAAACTACTGGTATGATTCAGAAACAGAAGTACACTGAATATTGTTGATAAGCCAGTCTTCAGCAAGGTTAACAGTGAAGATATGAGAACTATTTGTGAGGCTGCAGAGTATCTCTTATCCAGTGTTTGTAATTCTTGTATCAAAACTGAAATTTAATCTTTGAATTTTATAACAGTGAAATGACATTTAGTTATACTATGAAGTAATTTTCATTGCTCACAAGATATATCAACGTTAAAAAGATCCATTGCTTGACCTATTTGAAGAGGAATCAAGGCCATTTTCCAGATCTTCCACAAAGAAAAAAATAATTTCATATTCATGAGCATTGCCATTGCAGTTTTACCAGTCCTCTAAAATGCAAGTATACTTTCTGGTAAGCAGTTGCACATTGAATTTTCCTTGAAATTAGGAAAAAAAAAAAAAAAACAAACAAAAAAGAAGAAAGAAAATTATTCTGTCCACTGGAACTACTTCCAAGAAAGTTACTAAGGAAATGGCCTAGGACGCAGATGAATAAAGTCAGGGCACAGCATGTTCTTTCAGAGATGGTTTCTACAGAAAGTACAGAAGATGCAAACTTTTCTGTACTGGTATCTATGGTATTAGGTTGTGGTTTAGTCTAGCTCTTCTAAAAGACTCTATCTCTTTGTGTCTGACCCATTACTTCAACATAACTGGCAGTATGTATGATGTCAAGGAGATTTGAAACAAATCAACATTTTTTTCTGATCTGTTAATTCCTTACTTTCACTTAACAGTGAAAGTCCTCAATTTTGAAAGGAAAATAGCAAAAGCATGTAAATTTTCTTCTCTATAAATATAAACATCCACCAGTTTGCACTATGATTCCACGTTTTCCAATGTGCAGTGCTGAAGAGCTGACAAAAAAGAGAACAGGGGTACTACAAGTCTAATATAGTTTCACTTACTAATGCTGCTCATGAAAGGATATATTTTACACAACTCTCAAACTTACTATTACTGAAATTAATTAATTTGTGGTTGTTATTAAAAGTTGTAACAATAACGTTTCTTTCAAACCTCAGCTGAAATCAGGATCTTGTGGATTCTGATCCAAGGCATTTATCAATCAGATCAGTTGGAGGGGCAGCATTTGAGACTAAAGGAAGGGTGGAAACCTAATCTCTTGCAGGATTAAATCACAGTAGCAGCAATAGCAAGCAAGTGCACAGGATCAATTGTAAGAAGGATTAATTAAAATAGTGTGTATATTCTGCAGAAGAATTAAAAACTTAATTAAAATTATTTTACTGTATCTATTTGAAATAATAATTCTTTTCCCTCCCTTCCTTCACCTCTTCTGCAGTGTACTGTATAAGGCTTCCTGGAAGAGAAACTCGTCTTGAGGAGCCTTTTGCAAAAGACATGACAAGTGCAGTTAATGAAATTACAAGTGTTTTGTTAAAAGCATTGAAAGAAAAACCATTTGCATTTTTTGGTCACAGGTAAAAATATATACAGTTTTAGGAGATCTAGGAATAGAGTTACTTGTTTTTATTTGCAAAATAAAAAAAAAAAAGCTTCTGCAAGGATCTTCTGTCAAATCATCCTAAAACATGCAGTTGCTGTCAAATAATCTGGTTATTTTTTTTATTATTATTTATTCAGGTGCAACATCTGAGCATGTGTTTCTAATAAATTATAATTGCATTTATTGTTAATATTTGTGCCAGCGTTTGATCTATATGAATGCAGGGGGTGAACTGTCGGTATCTGTGGTATTGATGATTCTGAGATTGTAGAAAGTCTCTCAGGGTTCTGTACAGGGGGATTCCTGACCCCCTGCCAGGGTCCCAGACCTTCCAGGGAAGCCAGGGGGATGCCCTGGATTCCCACAGCGAACCATTCATGAAACACAGATTTTAAAGATTGCTGAGTCTCAAGTATTCAAGATAACTGTTCTTATTGAAAATTAAGGAGACTATTAAAAGAAAAAGAATATGAAAAGGTCTTATTTGCAAAATTAGACTGTGAAGGAATATACTTCATGTCAATAAACTAATATTATAATCTGCATGTCATATACTATTTCAGCATTGTTCAAGATAGCCAGTTATCACTGAAATTAAAATTATGTTTGTATTTTCCAGTTTTTATGTATGTTTTTACTTACTTTTCTTTAATTTTTTCTTTTGTTGCAGTTTTGGAACTTATTTGAGTTTTGCCTGTGCACTTCAGCTGAAAGAAAAGTACGGACTGGAGCCAGTCCATCTTTTCATGTCAGCAGCACATGCCCCAAATGTAAGCTACAGAATCATTAACATTATGAAACAGAACCATAGATTAGCTGCTAAGAGTAAGAATAATATTTTCCAGTATGGTATGCAGAGTAGTTTTAATAAAAAAATCAACATTTCTTCAGAATCTATGGAGTGAAAAGTGTTCTGAGGTTGATGCAGAATACCTAATATTTACTGCTGCTAACCTTAGCCTTGGGAGAACAATCTCCTTAAAACTAATGCTGGAGCTAATTAATGCTTAAACTAACTAATCCTTTTGAATATTGTGTTATTTAGTATAGCCATTGGCTTAACAATCAAAAATAATCAAACCAACATTCTAAATGGTCCTCCTTACTGTGTAATGTGTGAAGTAACTGTCTTTACCTAGTCTTTCATAAACCCGCTGCATCAGCCGTCAATACATTGGTCCAATTTTTTTTTTTTTTCTTCTTTTTTTTTGGGTTTTTATTCGTTTTTTTCTTGGGTTTTGCTGATTCTGCTAGTCTTTCTCAGAAAATCAGTAGTGAAGTGACATTTTTCCAGTCCTGTCCTCAGTCAGCATTTGCTATTTCTATTCTTCCGTTTCTAAGGCTTCTTAGCAGTCCTGAATATGAGCTCATGATTCATAGAAGCAATTATTATTCCTGCAAATTTCCATAATCAGTTGGTCTCTTCAGTCCTACATTAGCCAGGTTTATGTCCAGTGTTAGGTTTTTCTTTCTCTTAGATTATTTTACTAGTTGTATTTCAATAGTAAGAGTCAAGCTTGAACAAAATAATATTAACAGTTGTTTGTCTGTATAAGTTTCAGAAGTAGAGAGTACTTGGCTCACTCATAGTTTGGAATTTCAGTAAGTACAGTCTACTAACCCTTTCCATGAAATGCTCTCTGTGAATGTGAAACGAATCAGCCATTGTATTCTGGAGATGAAAAATTATTGTACTTTCTACTAAAATAATTTTAATGAAAAGGTTCTTTAAAGTATATTATATACAACATGTGATCTGCTTTGTTTGGTACTGACAGTCTGCAGCACATCTTGCCATCAAGAGCATGGTCCTACCTGATGGAAACAATGACCTTCTTGCAATCATGAAGATTCTAGGAGGAAATTTTGAATATCCACCTGATGAAGACAGTTGGAGTGATATGGTGCTTACTTTCAGAGAAGATGTTAGAATTCTTCAGACGTCTTCGTAAGTTTTACAACTTTGTATCACTTCTGTATTTGTATTTTACATTTTTATTTCTCTCTGATCATGTTTTCTTTTTTCTTTCTTAGTAACTTGTTTTAATTTCTGTTAGAAAAATAATAAGAAACAGTAAAACATAATTTTTTTTCCTTTGTGTGCTTTTCTATTTGTTTTCTGGTATTTAAGCCCTAGATGAAACAGTGTGTACTGCAGCAACCACAACTGTTAATGCAGTAGTGAACCTGTCATGGCAGAATTACAGTTCTACCTATGATCCAAAGTTAGCAGCTACTAAAAGGGAATATTCTCACATCTTTTATTGTTTTCTGAGATTAACAACCTCAGCTCATTATGCTTCAGGAACATTGCTTTCAGCCTCCAGATCTTCTAGCCTAACCAGAAAAAGAATCCCTGTATTCTGGGGCACCCCGACAGCAACTGGCTTCCTGTGTCCTAACTGCTCTCCCCACTGGACATCACATGACAGCTCATGTAGCTGAGTGGTTAAGGCTTATTGGCAAAACCAAGGACACTCTTGGATGTGGGACCCATTTTGGTCTTAGGAATTTGACATTGAAAGGCACTGAAATGTTAGAATTTGTATATAAGTAGATAGCATCATTATTTATTGTAGGTGAGAATTTTTATTGCCGATCAAAGCTCTTTTTTTTCCCCTAACTATTGGGTCATTCTTTCTTTACAATTTTATATGTAATTGCGGTAAGGTAAGGAGCTAAGGTCTTCACGGGTATTTTCTTTTCCTGATGTTCTGTATAATCTAACTCCCGAAATTTGTTAGTTTTGGAGAAAAACAAAAAACCCTTTTTTGTATGTGGAAGCAAATTCCAAATATATGTATCTTATGGAATGTTTTATGACTAGTTTTTATGTTCACAGATTTGAGAAGACAGACATGAATACCCCCTTCTCCTGTGATATAACCTACTTTAGTGGGTCTGATGATAAAATATTTGATACAAAAGGTACTTTGCTTAAATGGTTTTCCTCTTGAACTTACACATTTTCTTGTTGTATTATACCCATTAATTAGAGTTTTCTAGAGTCTACCTACTTCTTCAAGGAAACAAATCAAGAGAGCAGTTTAAATAAATCTTGATATGGGATTTAAAATAATTATTAAATTATAGCTTTGAAATAGTTATACAAAATGACCACAAGAGTTGACATTTCTCTGACACTTTAAATATCTTTTTAGGTTGGCAAGAACTAACGAGTGGAGATACTTCATTTTATGAGCTTCCTGGAGGTCACCTTTATCTGCTGAAACCATCTAATGAAAGCTTCTTGATAAAACACATCACAAGAACCATAGAAAATGCCAATCAATGAGTATTTTCTTCAATTTTAATAGCAGGATGTATAAGATTAGTCCACAGCAACTTGTAATAAGCCACTTCTCTCTCTACATTGCATGCAGTTATGCCTCAAAGTTGTTCTGTTCCTCTGTAATCCTTTATAAGGGGAGTTTTCCTGATTTTTTGAAAACAAACATTGGCTTTGAGTCTTAAAAAAGGTTTCATCTTTTCCTTCTTCTCTTGCACATGTACAAACTCTTCACTTTATTCCATAACCTTGTTTGCAACAAAATTACGTCTATGTTATTTTACTGTTAGAGCTTCTCTGTTTGTCTGCTCCTGTCAAAATGCTAAATATAATTTAATACCCAAAAAAATCCATAATTCTCACAGAAAGCTTAATTTATTCAGTTCAAATTTATTTAGATTAATATACAAGCTAAAAATAGATTATATATGTAAATACCCTTTACAGTCAAACAGCTTATGCTTAAAAGATACTGCTGTCAGACCTCACAGTAAGGAGTTAGTACTGCATTTTTCTCAACAGAGTTAGTTCATTAGCTACTAAAGAGTTAAGTATTAGTGGGAATTATTTTGAATATTCTAGATCCCATATTTTTCTACCATTGCTCTTGCTTTAGAGATATAGGCATTCATGGCATCCTCTTTTGATAAACCTGCAAAGGAAAGTAGGAGTCATTATATTTCCTCATTTGTCATCCTATAAACTTGACTACAGGATGTAAATTTAATTGGTGTAACACCTTTTTTCAGGTTCCATGCCTCCCATTTGGCCTTGCCTTTCAAATCTAGCATTCCTGGACATTCTGCCAAAATAAATGCATAGCTTTGGTTATCATGCAGATTTACATACCATTAGATTGATTTTATCAAGATAAGTGAGTAAATGTGAAGTATATATAGTAATACCAATATTAATATCTCCAACAGTAGCCTGTTTGTAGAATCCATATAGTTCCTTCAGTTCTTCATCAGTTGGTCTTGTTTTTAATTTTTTTACATCTTCTGCAGCGCTATCAAAGTCAGCCTGATGAAAGAACAGAAAGGGTTCTCTCAAGGGGTGTTTTTAAAACATGAGTTATAAGACACACAATAGTATCACTAGATTTTCTCAATGACTCACTTGAGTTTAGCAATCAGACAAGGCTTTTTCCTATGAAAGAAGCTTCATAAATGTGTACATTGTTAGGAAGGGATACAGGCTTGAAGGCTGATAGGGCCAGCCTCCAAAATTTATCTGGTGTATATGTCTTTTACAGTCATACTGCATGTATGAAGCCATTCACTGAACTTTATATCCCACAGTAATCTCTGAATTGTTTTGACCCTGCCTACACTGTGCTGGTTCAAGCGGTGGAGCTCAAATCCCTTCTGAGTGGTACTACTCAATGTACCCTCCATTTCCTCTGCTCTGCTGACAGCAGCTGGCACAGGGGTAGCTCATGAAGATGAGCTACTGCCGGGAGCACCTTCCACAGCTATCTTTGAATCACAGAAGAGCACCAGAGTAAAGTATAAATTTACTCCTTTCATCACTGTGAATCACAAACTCACACCAACCTGAGACTGTAGGCATTCTCGTTATAAAGCAGGTCTCAGGCTAAGGTTTCGAGTTCTGTTTCATGCCCAGATCATTTCAGAGAGAGATAAATTTTGTATGGTGACTACAGACCCATCAGGTTACCACACTACTCCAATGCAGAATGATACAAGTACTTTAACATGTTATATGCTGGATTCAACAATTATCTGCATTAACAGAAGCACAGTATATCCTGCACAAATATTTAATATGTACAAAACCAACTGTATTGGTTTTGCATGACCTGGTTTTTCGTAGTTGGGGCAGGGGGGCTACAAGGGTGGCTTCTGTGAGAAGCTGCGGATTCTTTCACCATGTCCAGCAGAGCCAATTCCTGGTGGCTCCAAAGATGGATGTGCCACTGGGCAAGGCCAGGCCGATTAGAAACGGTGGTAGCACCTCTGTGGTAACAGATTTAAGCAGGAAAATAAACAAGAAGTGTTTGTGCAGTTGTAGCTGCGGCCAGAGAAGAGCAGAGCGAGCCCGTGCGAGAAGCAGCCGTGCAGACGGCGAGGTCGGGGCAGGAGGGGCAGGAGGGGCTCCGGGCGCTGGAGCCGAGATTCCCTCAGGCCGCGGGGCCGCCATGGGGAGGCCGCTGTGCCCCGCAGCCCGTGGGGGCCGTGGGGATGCGGGATCCGCCACAGCCCGGGGAGGAGCCCCGGGCCGGAGCACGGGCATGCCTGGGAGGAGGCTGCGATCCCGGGGGAGACCCGTGGAGAGGGGCCCGGCTGCGGGCGGGAGCAGCCTGGCCCTGGAGGATGCACCCCGGAGCAGTGACCCACCCTGAGCGGGCTGGGGAGGCTGTGCCCGTGGAGGGACCCGTGGCAGCAGCTCACAGGGAGCTGCCGCTCCGAGATGCGCTCACGCTGGAGAGTTCACAGGGAACCGCCTCCCGAGCCTCCCCGGGGGCAGCAGGGGAGCGACTCCTCTCCCTGAGCAGCGGGAGAAGCCATGGGTGATGAGCTGACCATTACCCCCATTCCCTGTGCCCTTGCACTGCTGGGCAGGGGATAGACCTGAGAAGGGAGGAAGGTGGTTATAAGGGCTTATTTAATTCTCATCCTGCTTTGAGTTTGTTAGAAATAATTTCACATTATGTCTCTAAGTTGAGCCTGTTTTGTCCTCAATGGCATTTGATAAGTGATCTCTCCTGGTCCTTATCTCACCTCACAAACCCTTTGTTAAATTGTCTCTCCTCTGTCCAGCTGCAGAAGAGAGTGCGTAAGTGGCTTTGGTGTGTGCCTGGCATCTGGCCAGCATCAACACACTACTTCAGCTTAGAAGTTTGTGTAAGAGTCAGCAATGATTTCAGCATGAGTACTGCAGCTCTGGTAAACAGATCACTGAGATCCTGGCATTACCTCAGAAGTCCACACTTTAGAAGCACTAAAGTGCTTCTTTATATCACCTTTCCCTTTAGTTACAGGAAAGATTTTTTTTTTTTTTTTTAATAAGAAAACCTAATGCATGTTCATCTCCTTAAGTGATGCCTTTCTCCTTGGCAAGTGATTCTGCTGGGTGGACCAGGTGACGGAAATAAGCAAATATGAATGAGAGCTAAGTTGACTACAGCATTCTGTATTTAAACAGAGAGAAAGTACAAGAGAAAGGTTATTTCTTTTTTTAAATCTAAGAAGGAAAAATGAGTAGTAATTTAATTAGAGAGCGATGTTCAAGCATCTTTCCTCACAGAAAGGGCCCTTCCTGGAATCATGAAACTACATATTCATTGATGTGAGGACACGCCAGCTGGTGGCTGCATTAAGGCAGGGGCAGCAGGCAAAACAGGGCAAGGACTAGGTAGCTGAGTGCATTGCAGCTTCCTGCACAGAACCTTGGCCTCTCTACCACCATGTGAGTCACCTCTGCCTGCTGAGGTGGAATTCACTCTCTATTTTGGTCTGAAATTTAGTGTGGCTAATGCGATTTGCCAGATACAAACTTTCAATGAATTTCTAATTTTTTGCAAATTTGAAATTGTTGTATGAAACCCACAAGTCTTCCAAGACCAAAACTGCTCAGCACAGGAGGATGTACATCTGGAACAGCAGTGTTGCAAAAAAGAACAGCAGGCAGAGAGGTGCATTTAAAATAAATGTTTTAAAAAATCATTATGTGTGATTAAAAAGACATTCGAGCTCCCTGCAAACCAGCAATTAAGTCTTGAATAATCTTTAAACTGCAGCTGTAAATTCACAGAATATTAGATGGGAAGGATTCACTATGACAATACACATCTCTAGGCAGACCTAGGTCTGTCAGTTCATAGCACCCTTGAAGTGAAATGAAAGGACAAGAACAAAATCCTACAGCAATGCAGATGCTTTTTAAAAATAATCTTCCAACTCAGTGAGAACCTCAGTGCTTGCATAACTGACAAGCAAAAGTGTCCGGGAGATTCCCACCAAAGCCTACCTGAACCAAATGCCCAGTAGTAGATGGAGGAGTACAGAGAAGAATTGGTGTGCTAAAATTGATAATGACTGTTTAAGTTTGAGAAGTGCTGCTGTTTTATTTTGAATATAACAATTCTTCTGAAAATTAGACAGATTCCAAGTGCCATTTGTCTTCTTAAAGATCTGACACTTGGTCAGATCTTTAAGTATAAAGTATATGATTTGGCAGTTTCTACATTAAATTCTAGATTAAATTAGTTCCAAATTATATTCTTAAATCTAAAACTTTATATTCTAAAACATGTAATTACTTATGTAGTTTGTTCCTGTTTTAATAAAATTACTTTTCAATGTTACTAAGATGCAACTATACCATAGAACTACAGAAAAATATGAAGCTTTAAGTCCAACTTTTGTGTCTTATTTCTTTTAAGAACACTGTAGATTTATAATTTTTTTTACAAACAAAGCATTTGAGACTGCTGCAAAACAAATACAGGATTTTTCTAGAATAAAAACCCAAAAGGCTCAGAATATGTTTATATGCTATGTATACATGTTACTTGTAATTTAGATAAACCAAAACTGTGTGCTCTAGACTACATACAAAAACTGAACCAATAATGTTGAAATGGCCTTACAGTATCCCTTCTCAGCTTTTTTTTTTTTTTTTTTTTTTTAAATTTTTTTTTTTTTTTTTTTTTTTTTTTTTTTTTTTTTTTTTTTTTTTTTTTTTTTGTAACATTATTATTTGCTTTCATGAAAGTAATGAAATTTTAATTTTTATTCTTATGGTGTATTGTCCCTTCTGCACAGCAACTGGACTTGTTACAACCACCTGAAATGCTTCAAGTAGTTCAGATGTTAAACTCAGTTTTAATTTTTCATCAAAAATTGCTGAGGGCCATAGTAAGTAAGTAAATAATGCTATTCTTCCTTTCAGCAGCAAACCCAAAATGGTGAACCCATGTGTTTGGGGCCAGGAAGTCACACCAGCACAGGCAGAGAATTTGGGGTTTGGGGCAGAAGCACCTTGCTCTGTATCTTAGGCACAGCATGAGTACCTTCAGCGTGGGAGCAGGGAGGGGACAGACACACTGCCACAAGCAGGAGTCTGAACTCACAGTCCCCGTGACACTGCTCTTAGGGCTTTATTTGACAGGTGCCTTATCCTTCCATGAAAATAGGCCTGTTCCACTTTGTGCTCACCTCGGGGAAGAGGCAAGGACATGGGGATTGCACAGGAACTCACATGTTCTTAATTTACATCCCAGCCTACCTGTGAGTCATTCCAGCTGTTCCATGCTGCTGTACAGTGTTCCAGGCACTGCAGCATTAGGATATGAGGGAGTTTTGTACTAAGGTAGCAAGGCAAGTCCAATTACAAAAAAACTCCTATGCACTAACAACAGTGTTTTTAGTAGATTTACAGCATTTATAATGGAGAAGCATTTAATGAGGGGAAATGAAATTAGCAATGCAAACTACCTTACCAAGGAATTAAAAACAGTGGTTCAAAGAAACCGGAACTGTACATATTTGATGCTCCTCAAGCATTTAAAATCCCACTATTGTTACAGATGTATAAAAGGGATGGACATTCACTTATGAAAACAAATGTGATGACCTATCATTCAAGGTTTTTTTAATAGGTACAATTTCATTAAAAGAAATATTTCATTATTAATACAAGTATCAGAAATGTGACATTCTTGACTATAACTATGACTGAATCCTCCATCACAGATCTCTTATATATTATCCACACACGTGCAAACAAAAGCAGGACTCTGTTAACTCTAAGATTTAAAATTGTTATCAATAATAGCCATAACTAGGTTGCCACATTGTTTAAAGTTTAAATAAGTTACTACTGCATGTGAGCTTCTGCCAGCATTAATGTACAAGGACCATTCAAATCTGTAGAAATCTTTCACCAGTCTGGAATTGTTTTCTGATCTAAATTTCTGTCCTGGTTTTATCTGGGGTATAGTTAATTTTTTCCCTAGTACCTGGTACAGGGCAGTGTTTTGGATGCAGGATGAGAATAATGTTGATAACACGCTTATGTTTTTGGTTGCTGCTGAGTAGTGTTTGCACTGAGCCAAGGACTTTTCAGTATCTCACTCTCTGAACATGAGGAACTACACAAGAATCTGGGGAAGGGAGAGGGACACCTCTGGGACAGCTGACTAAACTGGCCAAAGGGTTATTCCACACCAGAGAACATCCATGCCCCCAGTGTAGAAACTGGGAGGAGTTGGCCAAAAGGGACTGATTGCTGCTCAGGGATGGGCTCAGTCTTGGTTAGTGGGTAGTGAGCAGTCATACTGTGCACCACTTGCTTCTCCTGGGTTCAATTGCACATGCACTCTCTCTCTCTTTTTCTCTGTCTCATTACTAATATCATAGTATTATATTTTACTTAAAAAAAAAAAATTAGTCAACTATTCTTATCTCAGCCCGTAAGTTTTTGCCTCCTCGCCCTTCTCCCCACTGCCGATTCTCCTCCCCATCCCACTGTAGGTGAAGCAGGGGAGCAATTGACTACATGGTACTTATTTGCTGGGTAGTGTTAAACCAAGACAACATCACCGTAAGAATGAACCAAAAGCCCTGTTCAATTGTACAAGACAAAAGATAAAAAATAAGTTAAGGAAACCATTAAGTTAATAACCTTATTTTCCTATTATTTTATTCTATTTGCATCTATAGGCAAGTATCACAAGATAGTTTAAAGATTTGCAAAGGCATATCTTACAGAGCAAGAAAAGTGCAGAAATGAAATCTAAATACTAAACTTTTTGTTCTTTATCTCCCTCCAGCCAATCAGTCTGCATAGACTGTTGCTTAGGATTTGCCTGCTTACACAACATGCTTAAAAGCAGCCTGTAAAAATATAATTTCTTTTTAATCATGTGACAATAAAATTCCCTTTAACTCCTCAAATAAAAAGCATAAAAATATATACAAACATAAACATACACATGTGCCTTAACGATAAAAGCACAAATTATCAAGATTATTACCAGACACTGTCTTTTTGCAAAGGAAAAAAGCTTGAATTAACTTCATTTACAGCAGAATATTTTACCAGTTTGCAAATTTTATAAATATTTTACAGCTTCACTAAAGAGCACATTATTTTATTGATTTGTTCTCATTCCCATACAGGTAGATTCAGTAAATTTATGGATATGGTTGGTAACTTGTCAACCACACCAGTGTGGACAGACAAGCTCTATAATGTCTAATGCAGTAAATGTATGCATCTTAAAGTTTCAACCACTGATTTTTATGTGAAAGTGTAACTGTATATAGCTACGGAACAGCACATTATACTGCATTCAGCTCTTTCTTATCATAATTTATAGCTCATTGCTTAATCATCAGGCTAATAAATTTACTTTCTAGACTGAGTTCAACGCAGAATTAAAAAAAATATAATTTCAGCAATTATTAATTAAGCAAAGGTGGCGTTATGTTTGGGATTTGGCAATTTTGACCCTCTGAAGAAAGCGATTTCTTCTTAGCTGTAACACAGCACAATGAAACCTTTGTGCTATTCAGCATAATTGCAGCTCAGAAGAAAATTGCTAAGCTGCTGGCAGTGCACTCCCTGCATCTAGGTCAGAGCATTGTGCTGCTTACTCTTTGCAAAATGCACACTAAGCTGAGACAGACATAATGAGACAGGGATAGAAGAGCTTGCAAATCTTGAAAGTGAAAGGGATAATAGGAAAGCCTAAAGAAGAAAATCAGCTTAATCTATCAGGACATGGCCAAGACAAGGGAAGTATTTGTAGTTTACCACAACGGTGGGAGGCTAAAAGCCAGCAATAAAGATCATTTCCTTAACAGCTACTTAAAGCTACAGTCAGAGAGTACGTAAAAGGAAGCTCTCTCTCTAGCCAGAAGTAGTTCTCTCCCTAGCCAGAAGAAAGTAGAAGCTCTCCTACCAAAACACAAACCTATCAAGATGTAGCAAAGATCCATCCAAGGATGCATACACCCTAAAAAAATACATACAACTCCCTTAAAAATTATTTACGCTTCCCAAATTCACATAGAGCACTGCCTCAGTGTTAGAAGTTTCCCTCCTCCTTTAACAGCTCCAAACAACCAGCTAGGTCCTAAAAACATAAATATGTACCTGCATTTCCATGTCTAACTCAGTCTTAGCAAACTCAGATGTATACCCTAAGAAACATAATTCATGCATACTCTGAACAGGTAAAATTACATGATCCATGAAAAAAAAAAATATCCAAAATATTATATAACCCATGAATTAGTTGAAATTAACCAGCTTGCATCCTCCACTTGTGAAACGTAATGCATTATTTAACCTCCAAGGGTTTAGGCGGATTTCCCTTGATACAAGGTAACCTTGATTTTGCAGTAAAAATCCTTATGCGGAAGAAACACCAGTCTCCAGCACGGCATTACACAGACACACAGCGCATCCCTCTCCTCTCGCCCGTGTCTCTCCAGATGCAGAAGTGCGTACCTGCAGAGTCATGGTGCTGCGGGGATGCGCAGGGATCGGCCTCGCTCCTTCTGCGGCGGGGACGCGGCTGCAGTGGGGGACGGTGCCCGTGACCTCGGCTCGGCAGCGGAGCGGCGCCGGCAGCACCCGGGGACTGC